CAGGTATTCAAAATCAGATTTTTGTATTTTATTTTGCTAGTAATAAACTCTGAATCTCTCTGTATCGGTTTGATTTTATATGGGTATTCCGCAGAATCGCTAAAACCCTTCTGGGTTTGTATAAAATCTAGGGTTTATCACTTGAATCTGAAATTATTCAATCTGAAACAAAGGAAAAAAAGAGAGAATTTGCATTGATGTAGAAAGATTTCTTGATTTTCAGGTTAGAGAACAATCTAGTGAAGATGTTTCCAGATTACATGAACCAAGTGGAAGCCAAGTGGATGTATCAGTCCAAATACCTCCGAGACCTATGCCAAGTCTGGGAATTTTGCGGAATTTGAGTCTCAAAAGGAAAGCTTCTCTACCAAACTATGAGAGAAAATTGCTACTAAGTCCCAGTGTTACAGAAACCACTGAAAAGCCTCTTGTTACAAGTTCCATCACTTCGCCTTACTGGAAAAGATGTTTGTCACTTCCTTCTACGAATGCCGCTAAGTTGTCTCTGGTTATATCTACACCGCCTGTTTCAGCTGCGGTGAATAGTGAACAATCTAGCTCAATTGTGAGTTAACGGTTTTTTTGTTTACAATCTGATTTCGATTTCCTAGTGTGCGAAAAGTTCTGAGTTTTCTTCAAGGAACTATTTTTTCAAAGTGTAAGATTTGGAGTTTGTTTGGTGCAGAAAGATGGTGTTTATCCATCAGTTTCAAGATCCTTGTCCATGCCCGGGAGAAACAAAGTGATTGTGCGAGCTGTCTCTTTCCACAATAACAAAGATCACATTTCGAATGAAGCAAGTGGCGGTATGTGCTACTTTTCCCTGACACTTTGAGCTCTTTCTGTTTTTTTGTCGGATGCTTCTCGGATTGATATGAGAAAGGCTAAGTGTTGGATGTTGATATGATGATAGATCGATTCGCGAGAAATGTTATCAATTCAAAGAAATTTGATTTTTGATCATTGAAACGTAAAGTTCAAACTTCAATGTTCCTACTTTCTTGTGTTTTCATTAGCAGATCAAATCACTCCGGTTCCTGCAGAAGAAACAGAAGAAGAAATCCCTGAAGAAGAAGCGGTGTGCAGGATTTGTCTTGATGTGTGCGAAGAAGGTAACACACTGAAAATGGAGTGCAGTTGCAAAGGTGACCTCAGGCTCGTTCATGAACACTGTGCCATTAAGTGGTTTAGTACAAAAGGAACACGTATCTGCGATGTTTGCAGACAAGAAGTCCGAAACTTACCAGTGATTTTGCTTCGTGTCCCAACAATTAATCAACTTACCAATAGAAGGGAACTCACTCAGCAGAACCCACAGCCACAAACCATTAGGTACATCAGAACGCTTTCAAAATCTTTCCTTTTCTCAGGAATCCTTAAAGAACACTAACAATTAAAGTTCCAATCACTTGTGCAGTGTCGGCCAAGAGTTTGTAGTGCTTGTACTCATCAGCACAGTCTGCTACTTCTTCTTCCTTGAACATTTACTGGTAATGCTCGTTTTTTTCTCCAGAGATTTGAAAACACAGACTATTTTGCATTTCATTATAAAGATAACATAACATGACAAAGGTTCGTATATTTTCTGTAGATTCGTGACTTGAACACACAGGCTATCTATGTCGCAGCGCCATTTTCTTTCACCTTAGCTCTCTTAGCCTCAACTTTTGCCGTCATCCTCGGTATAATTCCCACTCCCTAAAGAATTTCTCTAAGTCCTTTTTTATTCATCACTGACACTATCAGGTAAACTGTTTATTGTTATTATCCAAATTGCAGCTATCAGAGAATACATATGGACATACGCAGCTCTTGAGTTTGCACTAGTTGCCTTGCTTGTTCATCTGTTATATGCTACAGTAAGTGAAAGACTATTCTAAGTGTTTTAAGCTTTGAAATACTTAAAACACGTAATCTGAGGCGTACAACTGGAAAAGGTTCTCATGGGAAGATATTTTTCTTTTTCAGTTTGGTGTACCTGTTATCTATTCAATGCTTTTTGCGGGCATTCTGGGGTTCGGGATGGCGATGTGCATTAACTTGTTGTACATTTGTTATTCTTCTCGGAGGCGTGTCCGGGTTCCGCATCACCCGAGTTTAGTATAAAGAAAGTCTCTTCCCTTTTTTTATAGTTTCTTTTGTGCCACCTTAAAGCTTAGATATGAAAAGGGCAATTTGCTGAATAGATAGATGTATCTGAGACAGTAGATCATATACAAGTTCGTTGTACGTTTTGTATGAATTACAATGAAATTCTGTAAAGAGACCATCAAGTGAACGAGGTGTTGTGAATGTTATCAGATACTACTTGTCGACTTCATTAAAATATGGTACAAAAAAAGGGGCGTTCCGAGAATCGAACTCGGGACCTCTCGCACCCAAAGCGAGAATCATACCACTAGACCAAACGCCCTTATTGAGGAATCATACCATTTAAATATATTATATTCTTATTCACTACCTCGGGCTTTTCATTGTACTAAACGAGAAACGACCAAAGTTAAGACAGAAGCTCACAGGCATTGATGTTGTATTACACAAATGATAAAACGGAGCAAGCACAACTAAGCAAAAGGGTTTTTCACTAACATGATTTCACAGTTTCTAGTCGACTAAAACTGGAGTTAGAGACAGATTTTCATGATAGCTAACGTCTGAATCTAAAATAGAAAACTACACCTTTCGACAAAATGCAAAAGGCCATTACTAAAGAAACAAACCTCCCTACCAGAACTAATCTAAGATTTGCGTAAGTTACGGGACAATGCAGTTGGATCGAGCTCAACAAAGCCTCTAAGCTCTCCTTCTCTCTCTCCAGTTAGCCGGAATGCAGGAACATAATGTGAGAATCTCAACAGTTCACACCTTGGGATCGATTTCTTCATATCGATGCCTCCTTCCTTTTTTTCCTTGAAGACTGAAATATACCCATCCACCTGTGTCAGAATCATAACCTCTATGTGGCTCTCATTGTCGTCAAGAACTTCAACGACCTCGTATTCACACTTCGTCAAGCTGGTGAGCTTGATTGTTTTACTCCAGTTCTTGTACATTGCCCAAATTTCGCCAGTCTTTGGGAGGACAGTGTATTTGTTTTCCCTGATACGCTGTTGAGCCTTAATCTGATGTGAAAAGCCAGTCACATTAGTGAGTGTCTCGTCCTGGCCTTCCTTTAAGATGAAATTTCCACAACTAACTGGCATTTTTTTGTCGCGCCACTGTGTAACATTCTCAGGAAGTGATTCCAGCTCAAGACGCTTTATCTGCAGTTTAAATACCGGCTTCCATTCTATCTTTTGAATCCTAGCATAACACTTGGGCAAGCCATCCTCTTTACAGTTCAATGACCATATTTGGCCATTTGCAAACTTTCCCTCTAATCTTTCAGCACTGAAGTCATGGAACTGGAAATTAGGAATGATGATACAGTCTGGCTCCGATGAAGGTGGAGAGCGATTATGGACTTGGTTTGACATGGCAGCTTCTCGTGAGACAGGGACAGCTTCTGTTTCTTCGATCTTTTGTGGTAATGCAGCTGTATCAAGCTCAAAAGAACCAACAGGAACGTCATTCCTTTCTTTTCCTGTCAATTTGGTTGAGGGAATCCTGTGGGAGAATTTAAGCAACTCATGAGGCCAAATTTGACGTTTGTCTGATCCACCACCCGTTGGAATTCGACAAAAGACACTTGCAAAGCCTTTTACTTTACGCAAAATCCCAACCTCTATTGCAACTCCTTCAACATATTCTGACAGGATCTCAACAAACTCATACTCATACTCATGCTCATGGAAAGAATGTCGACGACCAGAGGACCAATTCATGTTCCAGTTCTTGAAGAGAGCCCATGTTTCTCCTCTTCTTGGGTATACACTGACAGTATCTTTCATGCTTCCTATTCTGCAGTGGATCAGATGAGAGAACGATGGAGTTTCATTTGTCTCCTCATCTCCAACAAGTTCGAACTTACCAACAGACACCGGCAACTTTTTATGAACCCACTGTTTTGCTTTCTCATCATCTGGTTTAGCCTCTAGCCATGTTATTTTAAGCATAAAATCAGGTTTCCTTCTGACTTTTCTAATAAGGGCATAATATCGAGGCATCCGATCATTGTCATACATCGCCCAGATCTGGCCAGCTTTAAAACACCTCTCTTCCCTCGACGTCTCAAAGTTGCTGAAATCAGGATCAGCACACTCGACAATCTCTACCTCTGATGCACTCCCTGAACTTGAATCCTTCACTGCATTGCAGGCACCAGAATCCCGAGAGCTTCCCGCTTGGTCTTCTTTAACCTTCGCCTTCCTGTTTATACCGTTTGGCAAGGTTTCTGCAAACATATGATTCTCATGTGACTTCTTTCTGAAATCAGACTCTTTAGCACTTTCTGCATCCTCTTCTATATTGTCATCATCGCTCATATTCTCTTTATACGAAACCTGCTGCTTGCTACGCACTGACCTCCGAGAATGCTGTCCACCAGTTGCAACTTCTTCGCACTCACTGCTACTGTTGCTGGAAGAGCTGTCACTGGATTCAACTATCTTCTTCCTCTTTCTCTTCCCATTGATGTCCTGAGCAGCAGCAGCAGTACCCGAGCTTTTTGCTCTAGAACCCTCTTTTCTTGGGGAAATTCTTACAGAATTCTCTGGCTGCTTCTGCGCTGCCTTGGCAGCCTCTTGAGTTGGAACCTTGTTCTGTTGGGGGAAAGGGAATGTCGCCTGAACAGATGGACCTTGGAAAGCTTCTTGAAATGCAACGAATTGCTTACTGCATTTCACACAAGTCACACATTTGTTGATAAATCCCCGCTGAAATTCATGCTTTGTGCCACAAAAGGCGCATGAGGTCCAAAAGGTCAGTCCACCACTAAACTCAGTTGGTTGAGCTTGAGGTTTTTGCAGGTTTTCAGGTCTCAAACCCGTAGTGAAGCTGTTCCTCGCTGTATTAGTGGTTGTCTGGAAAACAGGATGAGTGTAATAAGCCGTGGCCGGGGCTTGTTGGGGTTGATATGACGGTCCTGCTGCTGGTGCAGGCTTTCTGAAGGGTTTGCGTTTCATGTCATGAAGCCTCCTTTTGGCTTTGTCCAGAAGAACCCTCTGAGCTTCGCCAATCGATTTGAAAGCAGATTCAGCACCAGGGAGTTTGTTCTTGTCGGGGTGGAGATGAAGGGCAAGCTTCTTGTACTGTTTCTTGATGGTATTTTCATCTGCATTTGGATCAACCTGGAGAATCTTATACCAATCAATCTCATCTCCAGATTTATCCAACACTGCACAATGCACATCGCACACCATTATCATGTGAACAATATTCTCCAAACTTCCATCCATTTTCTGAGCCTTCATTGCAATTCTACGAGCAGTTGAGAAATCTGCTTTTCTCATCCAATCTTCTGCTAAATCTTTCGCTCTAAGGGCCTCATCTTTGTTGCTCATACTCGAAACCCCAGATTATACCCCTAGCGATACCCTACAAATAACAGATTCGAATTCCAACACTGT